CATGTCAAACGTCCTGACGCAGCACACCACCTGAATGGAAGGCGGCGGGTGTGGGCGTGGGTGTGGGGATCCTGCTGAAGGCTCCCCTTTACGGGCACTAAACATGTCCTGGCAAGCTGCCATTTCCCTTTATTGAGCCTCCAAACCCCACAACCCAACATAACAACAACCCCCCCTCACCAAACCCCTCTTAAAGGACTTGGGAATCGCATTCTGCATCTGCTGATCCTTGGGATGTCTCCTCCTTCTGCTGTCAACAGTTGGCACTGACTAATTAAATCTGGCATCGATTTCTCTCAAAAGTTTTCCTTCCTTTCCTACATTTTGGTATTTTGGTCCTGAAACAAAAACTATACTTTAAGTTGTATTTAATTATGCGGTTTTTAAATTAGATTCCATTTAAAAGTTTATTTTAATTGGCCTCAATTTATTGAAATGTATTAAAAATGTAAATGCAAGAGAAAGAAATTCTTAAATTTTTTGTTGCTTATTCTTTTATGTCAAATATCACATACTAATAAGATTTTATATTTATCAAAAAAAAATGAAGAATTATACATAACTCAATAACTCTAAACCAACAATTGTTTTAAAAACAATATTTGCGTTTCGTTTAGAATAAACAAATACTTTCCAGAATTTGTATATAACCAAATCCGACATTGGTTTTTCCCTCCAAAATTATAAATTTGAATATCCAAGCTTAAAATTCAGCTGTTGTGTATGCCTGTCGTTTTTCCATCTGTGGGTGTCTTTCGTTGTGTGTTGTCAAATGCACAAAACACGGCACAAAGGACACTCGCACACACTGACTGGTGGGCTTTGTTAGGCTTTGGATTCTGGTCCTCTCTGCTCTGGTTATTGTTATCCTTGTGGTGCAGTTTTAATAATTCAAAGTGCCTGCAATGGACGGGCTGCTTACTGCTCATTGCCTGTCCGTCCTTGTCCTTTTGTTTGGCTTCGAAAGTCGCACTGCACACGCATACGTATACGTATACGCACAGGGGACTGCAGTTTGCTGTTTGCTGTTTGCCGTTTGCCGTTTGCACTTAAAATGAGGATGGACTTTTGTGGCCCAGCAGGACACATTACGTATACGACCCCCCATCCACCATGCACCGTGCACCATCCACACCATCCCAAAGGCATGGCAAATAGGAACCGCAAGGTGTGCAAGGCGGTGACCAATCGCCAAAGTTCTTTCGTTTGTCCTGCCAACGTCACGATCCGCATTTCAAGTGAGAACGTTCAGCATTCAAAACGCTTAAAAGTCAATTGCTCAAAGCAAATAAACTAGCTATTGAACCAGATCGAAGCAATGGTACATGAGTTTGATTGGTAAATATCCCAGATACCTATAACTACCATCAAGAGGGGAATATATTTTTAAATTCTTTAATATTGTATTTTACTAAAAGGGCAAGCAGACAGATAATAATCATTTCAATATCGACTTTTTTTACAATTATAAAAAACAAAAACTTGTAGTCTTTACAAGTCAAGGTTTCAAGGTTTTTTATATTCGACTCTGAATTATTAAAGGCGGCTTAAATATAGCCCCATTCAATGAATTACAAGGCAGTACATAAAGTAGTAAATATAAACAGCAAAATTTCCTAGAGAACCCCATTCAATCTCAGACGCATAATTATCGCCAAATAAAAGCAAGAAAGACAAGCTAAGAGGGACCAAACTGGGTGCTGGGCAAATAGTTACACTAATTAGAGACAGGTTGCAAGGACACGCGGATGCAGATGAGATGTCGCAGTTTGTTTGTTGATTTAGCCGAAGGCGGGGCCAAATGAGTGGGGGTCGTGGGTCATGGGTCACGAATCACGACTCACGAATCACGGTATTGCATGCAGAATGAAAATTTGTATTTCCATTCGCGTGTTTTTCGGTTTTTCGATGTTTCTCGACACCGGCGAAGTTAACTCGATTTGTACGGAATTTGACAGGACGAAAAAGGAAGCAAAAAGAGCCTCCGCAACTTCGACTTGGTGGCCCAAGGACAAAACTGGCAGCGAGGAGCCAAAGCTGGAGCCTTGGGATTGGATTTGGATTTGGGATTGGGATTGGGGACTTGAATGCAGCCAAAGGAAAATATCTGCACGGCCTGCGGGCCGAAATGCATGCAACAAAGCGCAAAACAGCAGCAGGAAAAGCGAAAAAAAAGAATACCACCACACCCACCTCCAAAAAAAAAAATAGAACAATTTTTTTTTTGGCCCTAAAATGTAAGAAGAGAAGGCAAATGCAAATGCAAATGACAAAATAATGCGTTCACAGGCAGGCAAAATGTTTTGGTGCAGAATGGCAAACGAAACACGAACTGCTGCGCTCTGACCAAGTCCAATTTGGTGGCTTTAACCAAAGAGCGAAATAAGCCTCACTGAATATTGATCAGAGAACAGGAGGCTGCCTTTTTAAATAAAATAAAGTTTAAAGATTTTGGTATTTCATAAAATCTGAAAATATAAAACAATATATTATCAGTCCAATTGATTCATTCCAAATTATAGTAAGTGCTTGAAAATAACTTAAATCTAGGTAGAAATAAATATGTTGGAAAACTTAAATTAAAGTAAAAAGCATAACATTTTAATATATATATTATTATATATATTAATATATTTTAATATATTACAAAAGTAACTTAACTTCCTGTCATTGCTAATCAAGTATACGCAACCATTTTGGTCGGCCATTTGGCCATTACGCATACGCACCGTTTCCTGACTCATCCAATTTAAAATGACTCTTAACCCAGGCAACGTAGAGATGGGGCAAAGTGAAGCTGGGCACAGAAAGTAGCTGGAAATAAATTGCCATTTACTTGCGTAAATTTAATAAAGTTTCCCTCCTCAATTTTCCGCTCTTCCCGATTTTAAAACGTGCTTCTTCGTTCCTGTGCAACTTGTTGTAATGCAATCTGTTTGCCGTTCGCCTTGAGCCGCAATTTTATGAAAAGCTGTTGAAAATAATTAAGATGAAACGCCATAGATTGCCGCACATCGTTCAGTTTTCGTATATCTTTAGCTGCAGCTGCCTGTGTTTTTTCTAATTTTTGTATTTCTGATGGATGTTGTTATTATGCAATTTACCACGGGAAATAGCCAGACTACTTCTTTATAGTGGGGTATTTTTTCAGAATATTATGTTTCTTGAAATGCATTTTTAGTAAATAGTTTAGCCACATTAAAATTACATAACTTTTTACGACTGGTTTTGTTTATTGAAGTAATTTGAAAACACTTGTCATATTTTTAACAAATGGTTACTGCATTAAAAATAATTTTAACCACCAAAAACTTTTGGCAAAAACTGAAAAATCACTTTTCTTCTCGTTAAATCCAAACCAGAAGCATTTGGCATTGAAAACGCGCTGTTTCCCTTTTTCTAATCACACGCAGAGCAATTTGTCACAAATTACAACTAATTGAAATGCCTCAACATGTTAATTGAAAATGTAATCCGTTAATGCCCGAAATGCGCACAGTTTCCCACTCTTTTACGGCCGCCCCCAAAAAATGTGTTGAGAGCCCTTTTGTTTGGAATTAATTAAGCGACAAAAGACGCAGCTTCATTAATTGAAATAAATAGCAAAAAAATAGCACTGAGGAGGGTTTTTTTTGTTTTTTGTTTTTGCCGAAACAAAGGAAAAAAAAACAGCTCAAGACGAGAGAAACGAAATAAATTCGTCTAGGCAACAGGCGTTAATATGCAATTAAATGAAATTTCTGCCAAGTTTCTATGTGTTCTTGTGTGTGTGTGTGTGTATGTGTGTGTTGGGACTTGTGTGTGTGCGTGCGTGTCGGCCCAATTAAATCCGCAAAGTGTCCCCTTGCCACCCGCAACCACCCACCGCCCCATTTTCCCCACAGAACTCAAGACGCGTGTGCAGATCCCATGAAATGAATGCTTAAATCCTCCTCCAAAAAAGAAATACCACACAAAGGCAGGAAAGCGAAGAAACCAGCGAAAAATGTTTAATTCGAATGGGAAATACTTTGGAATAAACAAAAAGAGTACAAATATTTTTCCAATGCAGTAAATAATTTTTACCTAAAATATATATTTTAATGTAATGATCTTAAATCTAACTAATATATATATAGACCCTTATTAAATAACTTTTTTTTTTTAATTTATAAAAATAAAAAGAAAAATTATTAATTATAAATTATTATTCTTAGAAAGGCAATAAAAATCCTTTGAAAAATGATTATGATAAAATCAATTTAGCACTACTCTTTACAGTAAAGGGTATCCCCAACTTATATGCTCAACAAGAAGCAAGCTGCTGTCAAATATCCCTTTGTCTTTTAAGCCTTTTGGGAATAGCAGGGTATTACATTGGCATCACGACTCAACCGGCTGCCTAGAAAGTGAGAGCCATGATATAGTCAAGGTTGAACAGCTCAGGAAATAGGAATATGGTGGTGAAAGGAAAAAAAAGTGAAAGGAGTGGCGAACATTTCATTAACATTTTGCGGGCGCTGAATTATGAGTTAATATAATCGATATATCAATGAAGATGTAGTAGAGAAGTCAATTAGAAATAAAAATAAAAAAAACATCTGTCACAACTTCGATACAAATAATCTTAAGCATTTAACAAATTTATTTGTGCGCCCAGAAAGCAAAATTTAATTTATTTTTCATAAAACCATTTGTCTAAAGAAATTCGCATTTTAATTGCTTTTATTATCAATAAGTTCAAAACGTTTAAAGTGTGTCACACACCCAGAAAGCAATCGAAAATTCAATTTGCCAGCGATCACTGCAGGAAAATAATTGATTTCACTTCTTTTTGCCACACCTCAAAGGCAACAACAACCGCAACGGCATGAGAACATTAAAACGTTAACGAGCTACATTTTTTTTTGTGTGTGCATTTGTGTATTTTTGGAAAAACAAACAGCAAGCCAGTGCAAAAACAAACAAGATGCAAACAAAAACCGACTGCAATAAAATAAATCACAAACCCAAATTTAAAGGTTTAAGCTAATAAAAACAACGTAGATATCGCTTAAAGCGTTGCAACAAAGCAATAAATGCTGCGTAACAGCAAGGTCTAAAAAAAGAACTCTCAAGAAATACATTCAAAATTTAAGCTTTAAACATTTAAAGCAACAATTCGACATAAAACGTAACTTAATAAGAGTGATTAATGACAAAGAAAACAATAGTAATTAATATTTCCCATTTATTATTCATACAATAATTGAATAAATTATAAATCAATAAAACTGAACAATAAGCCTGAAAAAAGTAAAAAATGATACGAACTCTAGGAATACCTTCTTAAAAAAAACATGAATAAGAACAAAACTCATCCATAATTACTCAACAACACTTTAACCAAAATGACAACAATTTTTATGTTAAATCTACAACGAAAGCACAACAACCAGAAATCAACACTACAAATAATAAAATAAAATCAGCAACGAAACCAAAATAAAAAAAGTTAAAAATATACAACAACAATCGACAACAACACAATTCATAATAACAAAAACCCAAATTAACATTAACAAGCATAAAAATAAAATCAGAAAAAACAAAGTCAAAACTGAATTGCAAACAACTTTATTAAGACTACAAGTCACAACAATTAAAATAACAACAGAAAAGCATACAAAAAACTAAAGAAAAACAAAGTAAATTACAACAGCAATACAACGATTAGGAATCACAACAAAAAACAAAATCACCACAATAATAAACAACAACTCCAAAGACAAGCCAAGACACCAACCTAAAACTTTAACAATAAGAAATGAAAATACAAAACTGCTTGCTCTCAAGGTGAGCGATCAAGCACTCATGAGAGCAAAAGAGAGAGAGGGAGAGCGAAATTGAATTCCTTTTTGCCAAATTTTTATACAAAGTTATAATTTGCAAAAATTTTATACAAAAAATAAACAATTTACTGTTGAAAATATACATTTTTTTTGACAAAATATATATCATATGGGCCCAAAAAGTGTAGCTAACGTAATGCGTAAGGCTAGCCCGCTATCGTGTAACGTAAGGTTGTCTGAACACGTTTTGTTCGAAACTGGAATCACACAAGCAGTGTGTGATGATTGTTGCACTGCATTCGCATTTCAACTGCAGAAGCGAGCAGTTCGAATCGCGCACAGAAAGCACGACGATCGCTAAAATAAACACAGACTAATGAAAATAAAATAAAAAAAAAGAATACATAACAAACATTTGTGTGGCGCTCTCGCGAGTTGGCAACAACCAGAAAATTACAAATCCAATATTTGTTGAAAATCTCGTGAGTTGGACACCAATAAAGATAAATTAAATCGTTTTTTAATATTTGCTGAAATCTTCGCGCATATTGATTAATAAAACAAAGTAAAACAAAAAGAAAATAAGCCTGAAGTTACACAACCAAAAAAATAAAAAGAAACACCAAAGGAATTTTAATAATTTGATAATAAGGCAACTGAAAAATAGTAATATATAAAAATAGTATATATAATGCAACATTTAAAAGAAACATCAATACATTGAACTTGGACCACAATAAAAGAAAACAATAATAATAACAAAAGAAAAATCCAAATATAAATATTGCCTACCAAAAACTGTTCAAATAAAAAAAATATAAAACTTAAATAATTTCAAATCAAAAATAAAATTGGTTGATATTATAAAAATAAAATATACTTATTCAGAAAAAAAAACAACAATAAAATAATAGAAATTATGGAGTAAATAAACAAATAAAACATTTATTCAAAACACAAAAATTCTTAACTTAACGAGTTGGAGCACCTAATTTTGACCGTGCATGCGCTTTTGGCCGTAGTCCCCTACCAGAGGTGACCATGTGCAGCCGGAAATGCTTCCGCATGCCCACCCTGGTCATCTGCGGCGTCGTGCTGACCATTATCCTGGTCTGCATCACGGGCATTACGCTGACAAACAGCATCAACATATCGAATATCGTGAAGCTGCGCGAGAAGGTGGCCAGCGATTCGGCGGCGGCCAATGGGGGTCACCAGGCGGCCCAAACGCGGGCGGCCCTTGTCGAGCAGCAGTATTCGACGCTACAGCAGCATCATCTGTCCCGCAGCGATCTCAACTATATTCAGGCGGCCACTCATCCAAAAAATCTGCACCGCCAATTGCAGCAGCAGCAGTTGCAGCAGCAGCAGCAGCAGCAACAACAGCAGCAACCGAATAAGATTGTCATCGAAATCGGTTTGACCAACGACAGCGGTCCAAGCAGTGCGCCGGCAAGCGGTACAAGCAGTTCAAGTACAGGACCGCGAATTCTTCAGGCAGCCGAGGCCCTAATGGAGGGAAATGTTGACTCGATTTCATTGCCAGCAGCTGCACCCCTAACAGCAGTCACCAAAAATCCAGCTAAAAACCCAGAAAGCACCCCCAACAGCCCCGCAAATACTACCAATCCAGATATTACGATGGGCATCGCCGATCACAATCCTGGGGGCATTCAATTTGAGCGACGAGCGCACGTCAAACAGGTACACACTGAGCGAAAGTATGTTCGCCATAAAAATCCAGTTGAATTTGAAATCTAAAATGTTTTCATTTTTATTCAAATACTTTTTTTTTGTATTTCTATTCTGTTTTTAAAGGTAACACGCACATTTATTTGAAAATGTAGCTTACAAATAGTTATTGAATTTAAATAACAACTGAGAAGAATGTAATAGTTTTTAATAAAAAAAATGTGTACTCTTATGATTAAACTTATGCGAACATATAAGTTTATATTGGCACACTTACATTCATACAGATCAGCTGATCTTTATAAATGTAAGTGTGGCAATATAAACTAATATGTTCAAAGCCGTACCTGTAAATGTGATGAATGTAAAGTTGCAAATATTATTAAATTTAAATGGCAATCTTATAATCTTTTATATTTTTATACAAACTGATTGTTTTAATTTTGCATTATATGAATTTTCTTGTGCTTTTTGTGTGAACTATGCAGTAACTGTGTTTTCAATTTTGTTTAAGTTCTTAAATAAATAATTTTGGTAAATAATTTGTCTTTTCTTTAATATTTCGACTTGCAGACAGTTCAATGCCATGAGGTTTACGGCTCATTTCATTGGTCTTTTCCATGTAATTTTCGCAATTACAGGAGAATAATTGAAAGTTGTATCATTGCGAAAATTCAATTTACGTGAGAATTTCTGTGGTGTTTGGCTCCCGTTTTTCCGTTTTCCCGCTTTTATTAGAGCTATCTGGCTAATCATTTTGGTGCATTGTCACGCTGGACGGCAAACACGAATTCGCGCTTTGTAATCCTTTTTTCTCCACTGAAATGCATTTGTTTTCCGTTCGATTTTGCCGCTGGGAAATTGGTATTTGGGAAAACTCGTGTGTTGTTGGCGTGTGAGACTTGATGTATGTATGCCTTTTATTTTTTTTTGGCTGGCTGTTTCCCAATTAAATTTGTCACGTTTTATTTGCATATATAACATTGGTATCAATAACAGTTGGCCGCCTTCTGTTGACGTTTTTCTATATTTTCTATAACTGAGTGTTAAATGACTTTCGTTTATGACTCAAAACTAGTTGGCACTAGTTCGAGCCGACTCTAACTGCAATTCTTGAGCCGGTTTTCGTTTTTCTTCCGTTGGAAATGCCTTGTTGACTTATGCTAATCGGAAAACATAAAAAAGTTCTAACACGCGGACATTATTCAGTCAGTGCTGTGTGAAGACATTAATATCCCTTTGTCATGTAATTTATTTTGTCAATTATTTATTACTTTGTCGTACATAAAAGTACTCATTTAAGTTTACGTATCAATATCATCAATATATTTGGAGTAATTATCAAAATATATAGTATACGCACTAGAAATTGTCATTAATTTGATTCTAAATTTTTTGTAAAGAACCAACCAGCTTTAAAATCAATTATTCGCAGCTTTTTAAACTCTTAGGGCATTTAATTAAATACGACTCGCTGGGCCGTAATTCGCCATCTGTCAATTACAGAGACAATATCATCTAACAGTTTTGAGCCCTCGGGCATTGCGACAAAAACAGATTACAGATTACAATAATTAACATAGTTTTAATGGCTCTGGGAAATCAAATAAAATAAACTGCAAATGCACAAGGCAGACGTTGCAAAAAATAAACTTCGTTTTGCGGCATAACAATAATAGAATTTACGCCCCTAATCCCCGACCCCGCCCACACGACCTACCTTCCCCTAGTTAATCTCATGTAAATGCGCGATTTCTCTAATGTGATTAAATATAGCGAGGGGAAAATTGGAAAATTCACACGTGCCAAAGTTCATAGGAAAAGTAGCAGAACGAAAGGTGAATGGTTAAATGCTTATAAAATATTTCAGACTCCGACTAGTTGAACATTCTTGCAAAACGGGTTTTGAACCCCAAAATTGGTAGCTTACCACTGTTTAGATAGTAAACCTTTACCATTTAGTATTTAACTTGTTAAGAAATCTTAAATTTGAAAAGTTACATTAATACTGCAAAAAAATATAACAAAACCAAATAGTTACTATTTGTTTGGTCATAACTGTTTGTAATGCATATACAACCCATTTTAACGCGTTTACACCCAATGAAGAGATACAAAATTAAGCACTAAGGTATCCGACAGTCGGAGAATTCAATTTGTTATTATATTTTGCAACCAACTAGTTAGAGTCAGTCAAAAGCCAGCACTAAGCCAATTAACTTTGCAAACTTATTCCGTGTGAAAATAATTACTTGGTTTTCAATGTGCACCCCGACTTCTAGTTATTTTATTTTTGTTTTGCCTGTTCGCTAGGTTGAATTATTAGAAAGAGAGGAAAAGTCAGGCGGGGAAAGAGACAGAGCGACAAATTAAGCCGATGAATTTCATGTGAGACAAGCTTATTTATTTACGAACGCTAATTTTGCCCACTTCCGCTTGTTGATTTCCATGACTGCTGCTTTTCTTATTTGAATTATAAATAGAAATTAAAATGCAAATTTACATAGAATAGCGCAAAAGAGTTGGAATTATAGCATATTATTATAACCCCTTAAAAGCTAGGGGGAAAAACAAACGAAATCATCAAAAAAATAGTTAAAGTCAATTTAAATGTCATTAAAGAATTTTCTTTTTACAAACATTTTGTAACATTGTTTAGGTAAATTTTTGCGTTCTATTTTAAAATTTAAAAATATAAAAATAAATGCGAAAAAAATATAAACAGGTACCTATTTTTTATTGTTCAAAGAAAAAGTGCGTAATATAAAGCTAAAAGGTAAAACGATTTGTTAACAAATATTATAAAATGTGGAATATAGAAACCCAACGAAACTGGAAAGAAAATACTTATACTTTGTAAATAAAATGTCTGTTAAATGAAGATTTGAAAAGTAGAAAAGTAAAAAAATTACATTGGTTTATACATTTAGCTTTCAATCCGTTGACTGCAATTTTTCCAACCCTCATAGATGGCTTTCGATTGAGAATGTCCTTGGCTTGTTATGCACTTTATTTAATATCCCCCATTTATCATACGCAATACTCTTTCGGCCAGAAACATGAGGGCTATAACCTTTGCCTTACCCCCACACCACCCCACCCCCTGCGTTCCACTTTCTGGTGTAAAAGTTTCTCTTAATAATAAATTGCTTAACTTTTTAGGTAAACAAAAGCACATTTTGCGGGCAGAGCGGGGAAGCACTTTTTGGCTTTCAACTTGCCGCAGGCTCATCACGTGCGGGTTGCCCCAAAAAGTGGAAAAAGGGGAAGCTTTTCAAGTTGGCCTGTTGTGGAAATTAAAATAATTGTGCGGGAGTTGAGGTGCCGCCTGTCCCTCGGGTGTTTGTAATTATTACAAAGTTGAGCTAGTTCTGTTAAGTGAACTAGTTGCCACAAATGCACAATCTCCTGTATTTCCTTAGATTTCCATAAATCATAATATATTGTACAAGTTGGCGAAAAACCAGAAATTAGATCTTTTAAACAACGAAAACAAGAAAGAAAAGGAAAAGCTTTATCAAAAGGGTCGAATGAAAATAAATCAAATCTACATACACTTAAGTTAAGTTTTTTTGTTAAGCTATAAATTACTAAAAGCCTTAAAAGCCTTTGATTTTTTTGCTTTCTAATTTACATTTAAGTGATTTCATTTATGCATCATTAAAGCGGAAGCTACAGTTTTAAATTATTCCAAC